TATCCGACAGCTTTATACGGGCACGGATGTGCGAACAGCCATAGGAAATGCTGGTAGGATTAAATACAGAAGCCGATGGAGTGCGCACAAGCGTACCTCGAAATCATGGAGACCGTACGCTTTCAAAAACTCGTTTCGCTGTGCCTTCGATGAAGTCGGGGCCTCGGCAAGAGCTGCTGCCATTCCAGCGCTTGTTCGTGGCGCGTACGAGCATGCGAGGCGATGAAGATCATCGTGGTGGACGAGGCATTGTGGACACGGATGGAGGGAACGTGAATTCCGTATGGCTAACCATGCAGCCACCTCCTCGAAGTCCATCGATTCGATGAGAACGCCGGGATGTTGTGGACACGGATGGAGGGAACGTGAATTCCGTATGGCTAACCATGCAGCCACCTCCTCGAAGTCCATCGATTCGATGAGAACGCCGGGATGTCCCACCCGAACGATACCGTCTCCGAAACGCAGTGCCTCACCGCGATGAGAACGTTCTTGCAACGAAGCAAAAATAATCTTGATGACTCCACGGTAAATCAAACGTTTGAGTTGGTCGTATTCCGCCCGGGCCGCAGTATTCAAGGTGCGCGGATCGATCTGGCGTATGTTATCGGGCTAAAAGAGAATAAGCCATGGTTTAAACACAGATGATAATTGACCAACGCACCATTTTAACGAATCCTGCCAGTGCGGAGCCGCCGTTACCAGAGCCGTTGCGTGTCGCAGAGTTGATCCAGCAACCGCGGAGGAGGATGGGATGCATCTTGACCTTGGTGGAGACGAGTCCCTTGTCCAACCACACATGTAGGCCAAGGAAACACGACGGAAAATGACCATCTCCCGGCAGGTCGTCCTGTCCCGTAAAATTAGTGAATCACGGCCGCCGACACATGTATATGCAACTCACATCGATGCTTCGCCAGGTTTCGCCGGTATAAGGTTCATCATACAACGGATTTGTGTACTCAATTTTCCCATTTAGACACAAATACCTCTCCTGTGAGAACCAAGTGCTGACGGGCGCGAGTGTGGGATCGCAAACCCACTGTTTCATGATGCTCCATGGGTCACGGAACTCGACATCTACGCTATACGTCCCGCCAAGATGGGCTCCTTCAAACTCGATGTCAAGAGTCTTGCACTCAAACTAGAGGTGATCAATTTTGTGAAGCAAAGGATTGCAAGATGGACAACTTACAGCGACATTACCGACTCTTGCCGCCACCAAAGCCTTTTCCAAGTCGCGGTGGTTGTGAAAGGTGACCAGAGACTCACGAGCGAGCGACCCGTCTCGCAGATCGCGAAGGTCTTCATCAATTTCAGCATTTGGGCTCCGCCTCTTGATTCGGCGCGATGCAAATTTGAAGTCAGCATAAGTGCGAAACGGGGCCCAGGGGCGGTCAGTCGATGCCGCCGTCCCACCTGGTGCCGATGTGCATCCAGCATCGTCAGTGGCAGACGGGGCCGCATCGATAGGTATGATTTCGTTGGTCTTGTTGGCGTGCGGATGATGTCGAACAAAAATAAATCGGGGAGGGAGTTCGGCGGTGGGAATGCCATCGACAGGAACATCATCGGAGTCCACCTCCATAAGAGCAAAGAGCTGCGGATTCGGCAGCTGCGCGATCGCGTCCTCGTCGGGATACGTCTCCTCGTCAATTTCCATCGGGTGTGAGTCTAAATCTGCGCTGTCATTAAGATCCTCGCGACGCTAGCATCGTAATACTTTAGGCTAGAGCGGACAAGATGCAGCGGATAGCCACATACCTTTCGGGCAGAGTCCCTGTTGTGCTTCTGCTCGATAACGTGCTGGTAAACGTCCGCACGAGCTTTACGGTATTCATCGCAAACTCTCGCATGCTGGAGATTGGCGGCCGAGGCCCCGCAGAATGAACATGGTTGCAGCTCTTTTTTAGCCTTGGTGGACTTGACGGATTTGCGTTGCTTGTATCCCTTGGGCATTGCGACCGGGAGCTACGAGAGCGCGTCGGAAAGGTGGGGTAAGAAATCTGAAGTCGGTTGACGTGATCGTGTTGGGTCACGTCGCGTGATCACGGTGATCCGAGTGACGTTCCAGTCACCGTCATCGTGGAGCTTGCGGTGGAGCAACCACCACCTCAAATACGCCAACGCCCATGGTCGCCAGTCTTCCCTCTCACCACCACACACTATGCCGCCCTCCCCTTCGCCGACCCCGAGTCCACCCCCGTCGCCTCTTCGCGACATTTTGAATCTTACTCAGCAGCTCACGCCCTCTAAATCACCGCGCACCCAACGCAAGGTGCGGCATCAGCCCTCTGTATTGCTTCAACTGACTCTGTTCAGATTCGCCAACAGCTGCAAGTCTCTGCCAACGACGCGCAGCAAGAATCCCATGGCCTGAAGCGCCGTGCTGTCGACGCGGAACAGACACGGAAGCCACAAAAGAAGCGTCGACGTGGTGACCGTGCACGCGGCGCGGATTCTTCAGAAGTCAATCCAGAGGACACCGAGGCCCGCGTTCGAGAGGCGGGCCGCTTCTTCGCTCTGCGCAACGCGATCTTCCTCATCGACGATGACGTGCTGAACACCAAGCACGATCCCGACTTCGACCTTCACCGCGAGTATGAATCCTCGAGGACGGAGCGACAAGGCCAACTCCACGACATTCTGGAGGTCCTACCCGAAGACGTCAGGCCCAAGATTTCTCACACATGGGTTCAAGATTCGGTGCGCAATCAGCACGCCTTCTCTGATGCATGACTTATGGAATATTGTAGTTCTTGGATGGCTTATCAGGCCAACGCAGCTTCATGCGCAACCGTATCCGTACCCAGTCCATCCACTACCTCGTCGACGACGTGAAGGCGTGCGCCACCTCTGCGAGTCGCTTCGAGAACTTCTCAGCGGCCATCGGCTACAAACCCGCCACCGACAAGTCACAAGCCTACTACCACCGCTGGGCCGTCCCCGTTATCCACGAGAATTGGAATGGCCGTATGGATCTGGAGGGTTTGTTTCGTGGTCCGCTTCCCGTGAAGGTGTGTATTGGTCACTCTCAGTTCTATCGCTCATCGCTCTGGCAGATATATGTTTCGTGTATCCGTGGGGCCCACGGCGCCGAGGGCGTCTTCGAAGGTCTATCCAAGCTTCCGCAAGCGCGGTGCCTGCAGCGGATTCACAAGATCGACCGCATCACCGTGGGCGCGATCGTCATTTCGTGTATATTGGTGCGTCATCCCGCCATCGTTGTGTACACTGCTCATCGTTTCCCTAGGCTATATGGCTCCTTTCGCCCGATACGATACTCGTCCAGGTCGGCGACGAGACGAACATCGATTACGGCCGTCGCGGTCGTCTCTATGTCCGCCGTATCCGCGAGGCATTAGAAGAGAAGAAAGCCTGGGCCTTGGGGCTTCTCGATCACTGGGATCGTCTCCTCTTCCCCAACGCAGACAAGAAGCACGACTACTCCACTGCCTGCGATGAGCTCGACGACGACGAGGAAGTCGACAACATCTTCTCTGAAGCGCCGCCAATTCCTGGCCCTCAGGTAAGCTTTTTTCTCTCTCTCGCTGCAACGGTCTAACAATCTCTCTAGGGAGTCAACTCCCAGCAGGCCGGCAACGATGACGATGACCAGCAAAGCCGCTCCGACAACGATGAACGTTCACACCGATCGGACCCCACCACCCCTTCGCCACCACGGCACGCGTCGCAGACGGGTCGCCCACACCACGCCTCGCCCTCTCCTCAAAGCGCACCGTCCCGGGTCTCCGCCGCCAAACGTCGACCAGCCGCGCAATCTTCGCAAGGCCGTGGAGGCCCGAGCGGCCCTTCGAACGAGCGGCGGGCGAGATGATATATTGTATACATATGTATTAGATTAACGTCAATTGTTTTTTTTTTGTTTTTTTTTTCTGCCCGTTGTCCGGGACGCTTGAAACGACTCGAGACAAGTTTCGAGTCCTGAAGGCGCACACTGGCTTGGATTGGCTTGGAACCGGGGGGCTGGATTGGAACTGGTTCCATGCGGTTCCACTCACCTTACCCTCGAGTTCCAAGCCAGCTTATAATTGAGACCATGAAAACGGCTTGGGACCGGTTCAATGTCGTCCCAACCAACTTAGGATTTTTCCGACAAAGGTTCGTCAGGTCCAATTCAGTTATCCTAGGAGATGTGTTAGAATTAGAATCTAGAAGAAATTAAACAACGTTGGGAAACGCACCACTGCGTTTTTTTGTCCAATGAATCGTGCACAATCGGCGGAAGTGGTTGGATCGGTGACAAAGTCGGCATCATTGTCATCGTCCTGCAACAATAAATGAGCAAAAAATCACAATTCAGCTCCATAAACTTGCGGAACCTTGATATGGGGGAGGCTATAGACTGGCATGTAGGTGCATCCCCAAGGAAGCAACCAGCAGCGGGAGAATAATAGGCGGGAAAAAGCGCATGGTCGAATTGGCGTTGGACGAATTGAAAAACATGCCTACCGCGAGGCGACGCAGGCTCTGAGGCTGCATCATTGGAAGAGAACAGATACCAGTCGGTCTTTACCCCTGCCCCTTGAGTCCCGGATATCATGGGCCTGCTTTTCAACTCGCCACGAAGTCAACGGAGATTGATTTTTCAACTCCGATGCCAAAATGAGGCAGAATTTAAAGGCATTGAAGTAACTGTCTACGTGGAATTCTGAGCTGCCTTCACTCGCTTTCGAGGAAGTTGAGTTATGTACTTACCCAAGGGGACGAGACACTTGACCGGAATACCTATTCGTGCGGTCATGCGATGAGAGCTAGATGAGAGAATCAGAGAGAATCCTGTGTACCTCGTTCAAGGGAATCTTTGAAGCCGTTGATTTGCGCCGAACCAACATCGCGCGGTCAAAGTTCTTAGTTGAGACCCGGACGGATGCCATGGACACTTTGTTCAAATTCGTTAGCAAAGTTATCCCCGGAGCACAAGTTGACACACCTCTTTCGCAGCCCCCGGAAAAAAGGTAATGCGGAAACAATATTTATGCCTTCGCGGGGAGTCGAACCCCGCCTTTCCCGTGGCCAATTCAAGCATTTCACCAGTATTGAAAGGGAACGATCGCCACTGATCTTCGAAGGCTTGCTAGCGTACATCTTGACCCAATCTTCTGTGTTTGAGGCGGAATTTTTCACGGCTTATTTATCAGACTCACCGGAGCACGGTGAAAATTTTGACTTGGTGGATCGAGCGGTGAAACTGGGGAGAATGGTCATCGATGACACACCTCTCCCAGGCGTCCGAGAAAAAGGTAACGCGGAAACAATTGCCTATGCCTTCGCGGGGACTCGAACCCCGCCTTTCCCGTGGCCTGGCCTACTCAAGTATTCCAATGAAAGGGAACGATCGCTGATCTTCGAAGGCTTGCTAGCGTACTTTGTGTACCTCGTTTAAGGGGATCCCCGAAGCCTTGATTTCCGGCCTAACCTAACAGACACGGTGAAAGCTAGGGCTGAATTACACAGAGGCCGCCTCCCCTGCGTTGGATTTTGTTAGAGCAGTTATCCCGGAGCACGGCTCGACATACCTCCCTCTCTCTCTCTCAACCGTCCGAAAAAAAAGATAATGCGGAAACCATCGCATACCTCCCTCTCTCTCTCTCTCAACCGTCCGAAAAAAAGGTAACGCGGAAACAATTGCCTATGCCTTCGCGGGGAGTCGAACCCCGCCTTTCCCATGGCTAACGTCGGGCGCGACTTTCCGAGTTGACGGGAACATCACCGAAGGCTTATGAGCGTACTTTGTGTACCTCGTTCAAAGGGATCTTCGAAGCCGTTGATTTGCGCCGAACCAACAGCGCGCAGTGAGAATCACGACTGGATTACACAGACCTGTGTTGAAAGTCGTTAGAACCATTACCGAGCCAGTTCACTATGGCATACCTCTCTCTCAGGCCTTCGGGAAAAAGGTATTGCGACTAGCCTATGCCTTCGCGGGGAGTCGAACCCCACAATTCCCATGGATCCACTTGACGACAGCAATATTCTGAGGGAACGATCGCCGGTGATCTTCGAAGGCTTGCTAGCGTACTTTCTGTACCTCGTTCAAGGGGATCTTTGAAGCCGTTCATTTACCAGACTACTGAACAGCGCGTGGTCAAAGTTCTTAGTTGAGACCCGGACGGATTCAATAGATCCTGTGTTCGAATTCGTTAGCAAAGTTATCCCCGGAGCACAAGTTGACAAACCTCTTTCGCAGGCCTCCGAGAAAAAGGCATTGCGGAAACCATCGCATATGCCTTCGCGGGGAGTCGAACCCCGCCTTTCCCAAGATTGCGACACTTGGATCAAATTGCAAGGGAAGGATCGCCACTGATCACCGAAGGCTTATGAGCGTACTTTGGGTACCTCGTTTTTGAAGCCGGTGAAAGTCACAACTTGAACGGATTCCAAGACCTCGTTTGGCTCGGGAGTTTCCTGCATCCACATTCGTTAGCAAAGTTTAGCTCACAATGACATACTTACCTCTCTCAGCTTTCGAAAGAAAAATATCGCGTTGGTCAGAAATCGTCTAGGCCCTCCCGGGGAGTCGAACCCCGCCTTTCCCATGACATACAGTGTCTACACAGTTGTAGGGAACGATCGCCACTGATCTTCGAAGGCTTGCTAGCGTACATCTTGACCCAATCTTCTGTGTTTGAGGGGGGATTTTCCACGGCTTATTTATCCGACTCACCGGAGCACGGTGAAAATTTTGACTTGGTGAATGGACGCCGTCTGGCGAGCGGTGAAATTCGATAGAACAGTTATCCCGGAGCCAGCTCACCATGACATACCTCTTTCGCAGCCCTGCGAGAAGGTAATGCGGTGTGAAGTTCTTCGTTGGGACCAGGACGGATTCCACGAACCCTGTGTTCAAATTCGTTAGCAAAGTTATCCCCGGAGCACAAGTTGACAAACCTCTCCCAGGCGTCCGAGAAAAAGGTAACGCGGAAACAATTGCCTATGCCTTCGAGGGGAGTCGAACCCCGCCTTTCCCATGACATACAGTGTCTACACAGTTGTAGGGAACGACCGCCACTGATCTTCGAAGGCGTTACAGCATGGGCTTGGGACGTTGTTTAAAGGGAACTTTGAAGCCGTTCATTTGCCCGAGCAAACAGCGTAACGAAAATCACGACTGGATTACACAGACCTGGGTTGAAAGTCGTTAAAAAAGTTATCCCCGGAAGTTGACATACATCTTTCGCAGGCCTCCGAGAAAAAGGTATTGCGACCAAATTGGGACTAGTGTATGCCTTCGAGGGGAGTCGAACCCCACCTTTCCCATGGATCCACTTGACAACAGCCATATTGTGAGGGATGGATCGCCACTGATCTTCGAAGGCTTCCTAGCGTACTTTCTGTACCTCGTTCAAGGGGTCCTTTGAAGCCGATGGTTAGCGATGGCTTGAGAAGGTCAGAGTTGCTGAGCGTCGGCATAATTTAGTTTACATCGGATCCCCAGTTTTGGGACCCGCATGAGCATCCCGAAGAGTCGAGGGGTTGAGCAGGGGTGAGATATGTGGACTGTCGTCAAGAGGGTGAGTTGCCAGCGAGCTCTCAGATGAGATTCTCTATGACGTGCCAGAGACTGGAGACGAGGAAAAGGGGGCAGCAAAGACCGCTATTCGGTTGGCACCCATAGCGTTTTCCGCGAAGAATTGAAGCTGGAGAAAGGCCGGAGTGTTGAAACTCGGCGAGTCTGTGCACGACGGGCTGACAACTGTTTGCGCGTGTTGTAGCGGGGAAAAATGACTGTCACTGTGACGCACAGCATTTTGCTCCTTGCTCCCTCCCACCACCACCGTCTGTCATCCTCTTTTCCACCCTTCTCCCCGCTGATTTATTCTGCAGAACCCTACTTTGCGAAGAAAAGATGTCAGGCGCGCGAGGATGTTTCAATTGCGGAGGCTGTGCGTTGTTGTCGTCGTCCCCCTCTCCCCACCCACATTCCCCATTCCCCTTTCGCTTTCGTTATGATACCCTACCTATCGGGGACGCTGCTGACGATGTCTCGTTTTTCCCCATATCCATCTCCCAATTCGATCCAATCCACTCCAATCCGTACACTTGGCGGGCGTCTGTCGTGTCGTGCGTGCGTGCGGGGGGGCGGAATATACTCTCTTTTCCAAAACACACTGCGTCTCGTTTCGGCTCGGCTCGTGTCGCTGCGATGATCGACGTCAATAACCGGCATTCGATGACGGCGCGCGATCCATGGTGCTGTGGTGAATAGTCGGCCACCAGGCGGCGACGTGCCCTAAGGCCGGGACGCCCACTTGGTAATTATTCGCTTAAGATCGTTGGGTGGAGCTTGACGCTGGCGGTGCTTGTAGCTATAACTGTGCGTCCCCCTTCCCCTCTCGTGTCGTGGCAGAGCGGAGAAGGCTGACGCTGTGTGTAGGCGGGCTCGAGGGCCACGTTTCGCGGGACTGCACCATGGAGGCGAAGCCCAAGTCGTGCTACAAGTGCGGGGTCGAGGGACACATCGTGCGTGCTTTTCTCGTTCTCCCTTCGTCTATGGGCTTGGAGTATGCGTGTGGGCGACGGCGCTTATCGTTAGGCGCCGTGACTCATCGGAGCCGAGCGTCTCTGCGTCTCTGGGCACACATTCCTCCTCCCTCCTTCCCCGCTCTCCATATCCCTATCCTCTATCCTATCTAGCCTGACACTGACACCCTCCCTTCTAGTCCCGCGACTGCCCCGACGCAGCCGCAGCCGGCGGCGCCAGCGCAGGCGGAGGCGGGGGCGGCTTCGGCGGCGGCGCACCGAGAGGCAACGCAGGCACCGAGTGCTACCGCTGCGGCAAGACCGGGCACATCGCCCGCGCGTGCCCTGAGGCTGGGTGCGTTGCTCTTCCTTCCTTTACTCCTCTTTCCTTCGCCCTTCACCCATCCCCATCCCCATCCCCACCCATCGCTTCCTCCCTTGCCCCCTTTCCTCCCCCCTTTCCCCCGTGTCCTCGCTACCGCTCCCTCATCCCATCTCCATCCCTTACTTTATCTCCCTCACCTTCGCCCTCTATATCATCCCCGTCCTGTCCCCCTGTCTATCGAACGCTAACACCTCCCCAGCACCGCCGGCGCCGGCGCAGGCGGCTACTCCTCCGGCTACGGCGGCTCCGGCGCCTTCTCGGGCGGCGGCGGCGGCGGCGGCGGCGGGGGCAAGACGTGCTACACGTGCGGCGGCGTGGGGCATCTGAGCCGCGACTGCGTGCAGGGGAGCAAGTGTTATAACTGTGGGGGCGTTGTGAGTTTTTTTTTTTCCTTTTCGCGGGACTATCCGCCACTCTCCTGTCGTGCTCTTTACTCTTCTTCCTTGCTCTCCACTCCTCCACTCTTCTTCCTTGCTCTCCACCCTCCTTCCTTGCTCTCCACCCTCCTTCCGTGCTCTCCTCCCTCCTTCCTTGCTCGGTCGCCGCGGGGTGCGGGGTGCAGAGAAGCGAAGCGAGAAGAGAAGCGAGACGAGGGGGTTAGACCTAAGACCTAGACACACGCTGACGACTTTCTTTTTCTTTCTTTCACGCGCAGGGCCACATCAGCCGCGACTGCACCCAGGCGCAGAAGCGCGCGTGTTATACGTGTGGGAGCGAGGGGTGCGTTTTCCTCGTCCCGTTCCCTCTTCTTTTTTTCTTTTTTTTTTTCGTTGGACGTTTTTTCGTTTTTCGTTTTTGGGTTTTTGGGTTTTTTTTTCGTTTTTTTTCGTTTTTCGTTTTTTCGTTTCGTTTCTTTTCTTTTTCTTTGCTTTTTTTTTCGTTTTTTCGTTTTTTCGTTGGACGCATCGTCTGGCTCGAGGACGGGCTGCATATCCTGCTGGGCCTTTGCATTTTCTCTTCGTTCTATCGAGCGTGCGTGCTGCGTCTTAAAGACCATCTCTGCGTCGCTCGCGGTGTAGCCTCGTCTCACGGACGGCTTGGTGGGCTTGACACGGTCCTCCCGATTGCCAAAGAGGAAATTCTGCGCGAGCGGACGAGGGCTTTGGCGTGAGGGGTTTGGGTTGCGCGGGTTGCGCGGGTTTTGGGTGGGCTGTGGGCTGCGTTGGTCGCGGCGTTGGCTAGGCGTCTCTACGCCGTTTCACTTTTTCGCTCTTCGTCGCTATCTC